ATCATTGTTCCAAGAGTTAGTACATTAATTATTACTTCGTTTCTATGTTTAACAATTTAGCAAGTTAAACTGAATTATCTTGCAATAATTTTCTCCCTTCTTTCAGCATGCCTTCGTGGTGTAACGGTTAACACACTCTGCGCGTAATCGGGAAGTCCAGGTTCGAGTCCCGGAAAGGGCATTGCACATGTTTCACCTTTCCAGTATCAAAATAACTTAATAAATCTACAGGGGAGTCCGAACTAAAAGGTGGCGGATGATAACTCTTCACCACCAGGATTTGGCGACTGGGTTCTCTAATCCCTAGTCCCCCTTTAAAAGGAGGATTATATAAGATATTTTCTCCCTCCTTTCAGCATGCTTTCGTGGTGTTACGGTTAGCACACTCGGCGCGTATTCGAGAGGTCCAGGTCTCGGAACAACTAGAAGCATTGCGCATATATAACTGTCTTTACAATATTACAGAGAACATTTAATGTTTGTATCTTACTTCCGTGAAATGAACGGCTATACGTGAGGAACAGGCAAGGCAAGAAAGAATTGGAATGAAATTTACTGTTCCTTCCTGCCTATGATTCAAAGCTTAACATATAGACCTGGAAGTGAAAATGGAAAGTTCAAATGCGTTAATTTCTTTACTTCGACGATCACTTCCTTAGTGCCGACGTCAGTACGACATTGTGACACGGTAACCTACTGACGGAGAAGGTTCCTCGAGGGTCATTCTTCTAATAACGTTGGAAAGGGTCAGTGACTGAGTTCGCTTTCATTTCGGTTGTCCACCGAGGAAGAGCAAATTCTGTTATTTTTCAGTAACCAAATAGTACAAAACATCAAAAAATTAGATATTTGAATCTTAAACCAAGGAGAACCTCCCCGTGTACCACCCAAGATAATAACCGCTGGTATCTTCACTATCATCAGTAGGATAACTTTTGAAGTGCCACACCTACAGATTTCATTGTACGCATATTAACAACTTCCGAACTTGTCGGTGCCCGAAACCTACAGTTGTTGAAGGACATAGATTTTTGTCCCGATATTAACTTACTGCATACAACAGAATACAGAATCTTATCTGATTTCTCTATTTTATTGTCCCCCAAACTTTTCCGGACCACTGTGTCATACATACTGAAAGCTTCTTCCAGAAACGTACGTAAAAAACAAGTCCTACCTGTTAAATAAATTTAAACTGTTTTATTTTTCAAACTCTGACGATTAAAAACTGCTTTAATTATACTCTGCAAAGAAGAGACTCTTTAATTATGCTCTGCAAAATACTCTGCAAAGAAGAGACTCTTTAATTATACTCTGCAAATACTTATAAAATACTCTGCAAAGAAGAGAGCAACCCTCTTTTATGACCTGGTACCACTGGCAGCTCATCTCTGGTTGGTTTCCGATGGTTCAAAATGTTGGTTCAAATGGTGGCAGTTTTTCAGAGGTTTTCTCAATTTGTAACGCATATGAGAGCTGATTTCACTTTAAGTGTCTGTGGGTACCCGGCGGCAGGGCGGCATGACTCCATGAAATGATTAGTAGATTTGTGAGGTCGCGTAATACTTACTGCATTTTTTTAACTCAAAACATATTTATTACAATTACGAGAAGCTTTTTACATGTACAGACTTAAAATTCATGGAATATAGGATAATTACTGAAGTATAGTCCTCATGACATGAAGAACCTGCCAATGAGGGTCTCTCTAGTCGAGAGTTCATGAGCATTCTGGCGTGTTGTTCCGATGGAAACAAGCTGTAAATTGAATTATCCACGCGTCCTTAATTTTTCAGTAGTATTTTACATCCTTTGATTCGTTATATCTGGAACGATATCAGAGGAAAAACAAGATCCTTGGTTCGTCAGCTGTCCTGAAATCGAGAGGCTTTTGACGATAGACACAGTGCAAAACGCTAAAATCTCTTGACACTGGTCGTTAAGTTATGTCTCTTGTATTGTCAACTGGAACGAATTATTGCATCTGTGATGTCAGACCATGTCCTACGACACGTCGTAAAAGCTTGAAAACAGTGACTTGCGGTAACCGCACACACGATTTTCTCATCTCTGTGTAGTCCGCCGCATGTCCTTCAAGAAGGATTCTTTCCAACTCGTAGAGGACCCTCGCAGTTCTCTGTTAATGAATTCTTAATTATGGACGACATTAATATTATTAAAGGGAAAATGCTTAGTCGACAAATACTTGGTTGTTAAAAGAGAACTCAGATATTAAAATTAAAAGAAAGGATAACAGAATCTACTAAGGAAATTAGCAGTCAAAAATTTTTGTATTATTATATTTTAATTTAGCGCAGCTTTCAAAATGTTCGTTGTTTTCAACAAGCATATCTGGCGTTTTGACTTAATAATGAGTATTACTACCTGAGAGTAAAATTTTTTACAAGCCGCGTTGGCAAGCGATTAAATGAAATAAATATTAGGTTTGGTTGAACAGTTAAGCCACTTCTTTATTTAATAAGCGCTTAAGTCTCTATATGGTGATAATTTACAATTAAATATTATCATGGTAAAAGTTTTTTAAGCATTGAAAACAAAAAATTATAATATTAATAGCTCGTTTTAAATAGTTCGTTTTGAACAAATGACCAAATGACTCTATGTTCTGTCGTGAAGATGTGAAGAGCTAGTTATTAAATGAGTAGGCTACTGAGCTCAAAATTGTTTTAAGTGTTAAATTAAATTTGTATGTCAAGATCAGACTGCAAATACTTTTTAACCTCGTGATGTCATTCATTTGTAATTTTTTGAAAAAATTTTAACTTTATGAAATTGTAATGGTTAACTTTTCGAGGTGTTAAGAGGGTTATTGAAAATTTTAAGAGTGCAGTTCAAATTATTTTTTAAGCTTTCATGTTAAAATAAAATTTTATCGTATTTTCACTTTACATACAAAGCAAAAGCATATTAATTTTCATATAAAATACAAGAAAATTATCCTGCTTTGTAAAATGCAAAAGAGAAGACGTACAACAAAATCAATTCTTCATTGCGTTTAAGTATAAAATATCTATGGAAGATATTGGGGTCATAATCTTTTCGCTATCAGGAACACTTTCATATGTGTTACACCTAAGAGATGAATGAAAGGGGTCAAAATGTTTTGTAAAAGCAGATAATGTGTTTCATCATCTACAAATTCTTTCTAACTAATAGGACATGGCTGAAGAAATTAAGATGGCGACACTTTATCAGTTTAGCAGAAAAACTGGTCGAAAACAGTTCGGAGTCGGTCATCTGCGTGGCCATGAATGCCAATGGAAACGCTTTGCCTCATTTTTGTTTTAACGTAACGTTTCCGCAAAAGGCATGAGGAAAAAGGGTGCGTTGGGAAGGCTTCATGTTTCCTCAAGGACAAGGAAGTGAAAAATGTTCTTGCTTCTAATCCAGAGGCCGTTTGTATAGTAGCTGCATGCATGTCATTCGTATTCTACTCAGAATTTTCTTGTTTTTATAGAATATTAAATAAATGTTAAGGAAACCTACTCTCCAGACTGAAGCAAACCAAAAAAAATGGGCTAATATTCTGTGATTCTGCATATTGTTCCTATATTTGAGGAAAAAATATTATTTGGTAAAAGAGTTCTTATATTTTTACAAATATTTCTTTTCATTGAACTAATATTTTCCCGTATTAACTGCATAACACGGTTATTTTATATTATAATGTGAGAAAAACTGTGAGAAATCGAATTGCTTTCACAATTTTCTCTATATGTTATTTCGAAATAAAATTGTTAAGCAATAAAATATAAGTGTCATGAGCAGCTTAGAGTGAATTTTCAACGAATTTCACAATGTCTGTAATAAATAGTGTGCATAGTTGTACCAATACGTAAACCGCGAGAGAACGACTGAGAAATATTTCATAATTCTCGTAATATAAGCTTAAAATAATTATCAGTTATTGGCAGATTATGAGTAATAAATAAAAATATCGGTATTTGCAATCGAAAGAATATACAAGCTATGCCTAAAATGGTTCTTAACTGCTAAAATATATTAAAATTTAGCATGTTGCGAATAACATGAATGAAATGTTTACTCAGTGTTTTGTTAATTTAATAGATAGATGTCAAACTAGAATGACATTTACGTGAATTTCAACATCTTATAAAAAATTTCATTTTTAAACTTTTTTTAAATTGTTGATTCATAAAGGAATTTGACTACTTGTTTGGGCTTAAATTTAGGTTAAAAGTACATTGATCAATACAAAGCGAAAAACTATGAAAAACGCTAATCATCATGAATAAAGTTTATCAAAAATTGAAAATTGCTTTATGTTTCCTTGACAGATGATGCAGCAATATAAAAGATGCTTATGCTTCGGTTTATTATAAATTTGTGGTGTATTAAAGGACGCAAAATCTTTCCTGCTTTTGCAGAGTTTATCATATGATCATCTTTAAATGTTAAATAGTTTGATTTATGCCTCCCACAAAATAAAAAGAAAGAAAGAATAAGGGGGTTAAAAATCTTTTATGGAGCACATGGAAGCAAAGCAAATCAGTAAAATATAGTTTTTCTAAAACTCAACGTGGGAGAATAAGATTTGCTGACTTTTCCACCTCCTCCAATTTCAGTTCCTTCTTCTGAGCATAAGTTTTGAGGTCTTTACAATTTATTAATGAAAGATAATTATTTTATTATGAAAGAAATTTCATTTTTCTATAGAATCCAATTACTAAAGCACTTGTATCCAGTAACTAAAGCATTTGTCTGCCCTTTTTATAAGACGAAATATTAATGAAAAATATGAAATTTTGCATGTTTAAACAATGAAAGAAACATGTGAAATCAACCCAGATAAACGGGTATAATCATGCCAAATGAACAACAGCAATTAAAAAAATGAATAGCTTTAAATGGGGGGATTACAATAAATAATAATAGTTGTATTATGTATATTTCAGTGCAAAATTTCAGTTTATATTCCATTTCCGGGAATGCCTAATAATTTCAAATTTTTATTGCAGGTCAGTCTTGAATCTTCTGCTGTTGTTTATATTATTTTGGAGTGGTGTATCATCAGCTGAGATTCGCAAACGACGTCAAACCTCCAACAGCTATCCAGTTCCTTCAGCGGAAAAAAAGGCTTACCAACCACCTCTTCTGCTAAACGCTCCACCAGCTCCAGTGGCAGTATCCGCTCCACAGCAGAACGCTTACCAGCCTCCCATATCTCTCATGCGATCTAACGAATACCAATCGCCGCTGAATGCAGCTCCTTCCCATTATACTGCTAATGCTCCCGCTGGACAACCCTCAAATCAACACTCGACGTCGCAAGGCTATGTGCTTCCCAATCAACCTCCACCACCGTCTTACTCTGTTCAATACACACCACCAGTTAATTCGCAACAATCGTTTTCCATTTATCAACAGCCTTCTGCCAATTTACAGCATATTCCCCAATCTGCAAGTTTAGCAACTTCTTATTCTGTACATCAGCAAAGTAGTCCTCGACAAATCCTTAGTGATTCCTCTGGATTACCCCTGAGTACAGCAGAAAGAACGTATAGCACGCATTCGAAAGTAGTCGGATCTTCTCATGTACCTGTTCAAGCCATACATAAAGCACCAGCTTCAGAAATTCAGTCTGATAAAGAAACACTAGCGAAAGAAAAAGACAATAAAAATGACGAGTACGTTGTATATTATTATTACTATTATGACAATGATACTACTCCTAATAATAATAATCTTACTCTCAATTTCGATGATATTCCATCCTTAGAAGCTTATGATAACGATAAAAATGCGAAAGAGCCAGAAAAAAGTGCTAGTGCAAGAACCTTAGCAGCCAACGTTAATTCTATACCTCCCATTGCAGTTGAAGCAAAAAAAGAAAGCATTCAGGGGGAAACAAGTTCAAGTCAACCAAGATCTGCTTCCGGCAGTGATCGCGAAGCTTATATACGTGCTGACAGACCAAATGATCCGCTTGAAGAAACAGTTGTGCAACCTCTTAAGCCTGTATCCAATGTATTCCGATATGGCAGCAACGAAGTACCAAGATTTCCTGTTTTACCTAATTTCATTATTTCTGAAGTTACAACCACTACGAAACCAGGCGAAAGTATAACTGTGAATCCTTTGATATCCGAATTTACAACTACTCAAGCAGCTCAGTTGAGTTCTCAGTTGCCTGATGTGAAATCTAATGAAGAAACAGAGGATGATGATGTAAATAATGTACTTGATAACAATACTGCCCTTAAATCTAATGAGGATAAAATACAAGAAGAAGAGCCACAGACCACAACAACAACTACTACTGAACCAACTACAACTACAGAAATTACTACCACAACTACAACAGAAAAGCCTCGCAGACGGCCATCTATTGGCGGGGGCCGTCGCAGATTCAATCCGACTTCATCAACAAATAGGAATCGAAGTCCTACAAGAAGCTCCTCATCGACTTCAACGACAACTACAACGACGACAACGACTTCCACACCTCGAAGGTCCTTCGGGGGAAACCGATTGAGACCACGCCCTCCCATAGGTGGAAATAGGCCACGAACAAACTCAAGGACAACTGAAGCTAGTGATGACAAAACTGAAAGCCGAGCTCAAGAATCAACCACAGCTTCTACCACTGCTTCAAGATCCCGTTTTACATCAGCATCTCCTAGGAGGTTCCAATCCAGCCGCTCGAGGTCTCAAACTAGCTCTACAACCAGCACCACCAGATCACCCACTTCTCCATCGACTCGTTCAAGGCCCACAAGCAGACCCAGACCTAACTTAATTACAAGAAATAGACCTCCACGTCCAGGATTCTTGAGACCCAGACCCGGAAGTGAACCAGAAGAACCAGAAACAACGACCCCCGCAGTTGAGCCAACGGAAGAAGAGACATCACCATCAGGAACAAACGAAGAGGCATCATCTACTGATAATGATGAAAATGGAACTGATGAAGATGATGAAACCTCAGAAGAGGAGACAGAAGAACCAACAACTACTGAAGGAAATCGTTTTTCTGCATTATTCCGACCGCGTAATAGAAACGCTCTTGGAAACAGACCCAGACCTGTTATAGGAAACAGACCATCTCGATCCTGAACTCAAAAAGAAATTAATGAGATTTAAAAAATAAGCTATCTTCGGCCATTCAAGTAATTTTTTGTATACATAAATAATTTTGTGGCCATTTTTTTGTATACACAAATAATAATTCTTGAATCCATTAATGTTTTCATGCACATATGATTCTCCAATATTTCAACATGGACTGTAAAAGTATAGTCTTCTAGACTAAAAACATCAAAGACATGAATGGCCTAAGAAGTTCGCCATAAATATTTATAGTTTTAAAAAACAAGTATATCTAATCTTATAACAATTATAAACAAGTTTCTGAGATTTTATATTTTCATCCACTGCAAAACACATAAATGTGGATTCTGTCATCAGTAGATGGAAAAAGGGATTTGACTAGGGTAAAGAGAAGTTCAGAGGCATCTTTTACATTTGTTGCATATCAAGCAATGTTTTATAATTAAGTGCGAATTTCAGTGACATTCTATTGGTTTCTTACTTCGGATTTTTATGAATTTCTTTTACAATTACATGTATAGTAGTCATGGTGCTCTAACATGTTGGAGAAGTCAAGAATGTGTGTTCACTTGTAGGTTGAAGAAGAAAAGTGATATCAGGAGATTGGCGAAATATGCTGCCAATCAATGTGATCTTTTTTGTGTAAGAGCTAACTCGAAAAATTTTTTAATAAAAAATGCCATGTATATATTTTAAAAATTACGTCTCACTCATTTTCAGAGTAGCTATCTTTAAGATTCTTCTCAAAAACAACTTTACATTGCAAACTGAAAATGCCATACATCATTTATAGAATTATATGCCTAATTTTTATTTTTTATTTATTTCTTTTTAAATATGGCAAAAAATCTGCAAGTTTTATTTTGCATTTTAAAAAGAAAAAATGGCATCTATTTGCTATTCTTTTCTTTGAAATTTGAAAAAGAAAACTTTCTTTTCCAAATTTTAAAGACATTTAAATTTTTGAAGAGAATCTTTGAAGAAATTATTAAAATTTTTGAAGATTTTAATAGTCTAAAAATGTATTTGAGATTAAAATCTATTAAATTTAAAGGAGATTATGATGTTTGAATTTTAAAAAAAAAAAAATATTAATTATACATTAATTTATTTAATATTTAAATTATTTTTTATTTAAAATTTTTTTTTCTAAATTAAACTTTCCCAATTTTTTTTAATTTCAGACAAAAAATCTTTTGTATCAGTTACATTGCCATTTTACAAATACTTTGTTGCTTTCTGCTAATACATTACTTCAGTCACATTTAAACAAAACCACAGAACTTATTTTTACATTAAAATAAGGATATATTTCGTTTACAGTATTAAAAAAGACAGCCACCCACACTAATGGCACTTACCCTTGTCCAGCGTGTCCGTGGTTCAGACACAGCGCGCTTCAACAGTTAATGAAACATTATTTTATAACAAGTTAGCTATTCATCTCAAGCACACTGAATAGTCAATTTACGCTCAGAAAGGGTTTTAATTTAAATCATTTACAAAACTTCTATCACTTAAAAATTGAATATTGAGAACACTCAAAGTCAAGTAAAAGTGAAATTTAAATTAATCTTAAATTAGCCTTAATTACCCTTAAAAACAGTAGCTTTCTATGGTGTTTTTTTGCTTATATGTTCCCTTTCTTCTGTCAGTAAAAACCCTATATATTAATGTGTTGTTATTGATTTTTCTTCTTTTGTTTCAGTAAAGGTTCTGAAAATTTTCCTTCTTTAATAAGAGGCAGCATTCATTTATTAAATCACATCACTATGTTTGCCTTTCCATTTTCCTTTCAATTAATCATAAAATTATTCGGAGCTACATGCATTTTATTTTCAACTGCTTTTAATTTTATCAATTAAATTTGTGATTAAACTCTCAAGAACTTTAAGCCAGATTTAATATCTTGAAATATAACATTTTCTTAACGTGTGAATAAATTCATGTATCTTCAGATCAAACTTTTTCGAACAGATTTTGAAATTTCGAAATAAAGATCACGAATCTTATCGTGCTTTGTTATTCGTTGTTGATCTTTTAACATGGTTTCAATTTTTCTATTGATAAAGTTATCCAAAAATAGGTCGCACATATTTGTAATACGTTTTTTTATGACCTGAATTCCCTTGAACCCTTCCACATACACTTCAAAATGGTTAATTATTTTAATATTAACTATCCAAACAAGTTTAAAAGCACTGTCTTATACAACACACACTGGCCAATGAATTATAAAGCCAAGATCAGTATTTTATTAGACCACCTTTTGCACGGATAACTACTCTGATTCGTTAGGGCAGCACGTCTACAGGTTTCTGAAGTGCATTTACGTAAAGAGTATACCATGCTTTAGCTATGCAAATTTTTAGATCTTGTAAATTAGATGGAACAAGGGAGTGCTGTTGGATGAGTCTTTCCACCATATTCCACACATTTTCTAAGGGGTTAAGATCCGGGCTATGCGGTGGCCAGGGTAGGTGTTGGAAGTCCGATTGATGTTCAGTGAACCAATTTTGAACACTCCTGGCACGATTTATAGTTGCATTATTGTCCATGAAGGATCTGTCACCATCAGGGTAAAAATGAAACATTGCAGGGTGCACAATGATCTTCCAGTACATCTAGGTATTTCATGGCTGTTTGCTTGCCCTCGAGGAACACCAGGGCACCACATGCTCCATATCATGATACTCCCACCAGACCCTTGCACAATGCGAATAAGGCAAGATGGATTCAAGGCTTCATGGAGTTCTCGACAAATTCGACGTCTTCCATCAGTGCAAAATAAGATGTAGCGTGATTTATTCAACTACATTACCCGTTTTCAATCCTCAAATGTTCAGTGTCTTCTTTTCCGACACCACTGCAAACGAATTCTTGCATGTCGGGCAGAAATGAGTGGTTATCTCACAGGCACTCTACTATGCATTCCTATCCTCTGCAATTCTCTGCACATGGTTCGAGCTGAAATCTGCTAGGAAGAGCCTTGGTTGACAATATGTGTCAGCTGAAGCACAGTAGACCTCCTTGTCCTGCCGTACAATTCGTCGGAGACGTCGCCGATTACTTTCTTGGAAAACTGTGCTCGAACCGCAGTTACGTCTTTTAGAGAAGAATTGTGGATTCTGATTCCAATTTTCAAAACGTTTGATATGGCTACTGGCTGCTTTTGAAAACCCAACGAGATTTTTCTGTCTTCGAAATCGAGGCTCCTGCTAAACGGTCACCAACAATAAGCCTTTTTTCCAATTGTGGAAGATCTCTCGTTTCCCATTTTACTTCATTCATCGTGAAAAGCACTCTACACCTTACTTATACTAGCATTTTAACCACGTGTAACCCCCACGTGTAACCTACACGTCATAAAAAAATTTGCATACTTCATTCCTAGCCCGCATTCAAATGAAAATCTCGAAGGTTTGAAATGCATGAGCCAGTGTGTGTATATCTGCATTTTGCTTTTCCTCTCTCCTCCCACTTTGTTCAATAAATTGACCACATTACTCTTCTCCTATGTCACCATTAAAGTATAACATTTATCGCAACACATGCACTTCCTTCAATTTTCTTGGCAATTCTGAATAACGTACCTTTAGTATCTATCATAGACTTGCCGTTGTGTCATTTTAAATAATGTTGTTATTGTTACCAATCTCACTTGTCTGACAAGGTCAGCACAAGCCCATGACATTCACCGAGGCAAAGAGTCATATGCGCCTGTCGTTGGCAAGAGCCTTGAGCATCGTATAGGAGATAGCCTGATTTTAGCTTAGTTCCGCCCACCGATTTTTAGAGAGAGCACCCCAAAAGTACACAGCCGAGGTTCTCCTACCTCTCCTGCCCTACCACAACCTCTCGGCTCTCAGTTTTCGGTTCACCGCGTATTTAGAGTGCCCCCATGCCGCACAGACACTACACATTTGCAAGCATCCATGCCTTCTCCGGGATTCGAGTCTGGACCCCTCGGTATGGCAATCAGAATCATAACCACTGTCCTTGGCGGGTGGCTTTTAAGTAACGCAAACTGTTTTAAAACGGTGGTCCTGTAGAACGATCTTAATACGTAAGAACAATGGAGCCGAGGGAGAAATCTATCAAATTCGCTTGCGACAGGACAGGAATCTGATTCTGATCAAAGAAATCTAATGTACTTTGCTGAAACGCCTTTTGTTTAAAATGCGGCGTCGCGGGAATAAACGGAAGATGCTTTAATTCCGTTTACATTACAACACGATCTTCGTTGTCCAGAGTAAACTATTTCAAGCATTTCTTTTATAGAATACGCTAACTCTACGTAACAACCAAATCCAATCATTCAAGTTTCCTGCATGATATCAACTAAGACGATCGAGTAAATCTAAGGCGATATAATTATAAAAACATGCACAGAATATTGTCCTTTGCAAGACGATAGAAAAAGCCACTTCAAATCGTATCTCGAAATGAAATGATAAATTTAAAAAGTTTTTAATTGAGTTTTTCTTAAACTGCATACTAAAAAAATGCATCTAATATATACATCTTCAATATAGCTACTCACCTTTAAAGGATAGTCAGAAAGTAAAGCGACACTAAATAAAACAAAACAGTTCTCTTAAGAATTATGGTGTCCACGATGGAAGAAAAGCAAAAACAAAATATCCCAATTTTCAAATATCGCGTTCAAGAAATATCGTGCTGAAGAACTAAACAAGACAGGATCGCAATAAAATACACAGTGAATAATACCATCGTGCTAGCTAAGATTCATTCTGATAGTCTGAAAATTGCAAAAAAAAAAAAAAAAAAAAAAACTACATAAATATAACACAGAGGGTGTTTACACAATTTTGATAAAGAATTGATAAAGAATTTTCCAAATGTTTTGGAATAAAAATTTCTGGCAGTAGCTAATTACTTGAAATAACAATCTACTACTTTTAAATATATTCTCCTTTGAAAATGTTACAGGAAAACAAACTGTGGAGTGAAGGATTTATTTTTTCTTTTCCCAAAGAGAAATATTCTTAGTCTATGTTTCAAAAACATCGTAAAATGCATGGTATTAAAATTTCCAAGTGGAAAATCATTGTTAAATCATTGTTAACAAAAGAAAGTACGCCAATCCAGAAATCAATTGCAAAACTGTAAGGATAATTTTAATTCTATAATCCATTATTTTATATTAATTACCTTTCCTATCAAGCCTCAATTCATTTTGCCGCAAGAATTCAAATTTCCACCTTGCGATATTCAAATTAGGTAGAATGAAGGAGGTATTTAAAGAAAGGTTTTTGGAGGATCAGATCAAAGCTTGTTTTTCCTGCTTGAAGGTTTTTGGAGGATCAGATCAAAGCTTGTTTTTCCTGCTTGAAGGCCACATTCCTAATTGATTCTCTAGCGATTAGCATTCTACGGCTTTGAGATATTCTTACCTTTAGGCTTGTTTATGCCGACTTCGATCAGAGCCAGCTTGTGCGCTAATTTAAATATAAAGCCGTTAGGCTGTACTTAAATTTCATTAAATTCATTTTGTCCATTATCTTTGATTCTAAGTCAGAAGTACTGGATTCTGTGAGCACGAGTTGGTGACATCTGTTAAACTTTATCTGGATAAAGAAATGGGTCCTTTACACCCTTTCTCAAATTTTATCTGGATAAAGAAAAAGGTCCTTTACACCTTTTCTCTTTCTCTGTGGTATTTGCAAGATATAGCG